GAGGACCACGGAGTGATTCGAGTAATTCGAATGCGATTCGAATATCACACTTCAATTTAGGTTGTTCAAATCTATAACACTAGTTAATTATGTTATTGTATAGTGTTATAATGTATAGCTATAACAGTTATAATGTTAGAGTTTATAATGTTAGAGCTTACAGTTTGAGTTTATAATGTGAGAGTTTTTGGACGTGCCCTGTCCTCGTGGGACCCCACACGGAGTTTACTATAATACAAGTTTGCAGTAATTTGTAGATTCTTCAAATGTATATGTGAATGTTTTTAAGTTACCATTGTTGAAGTTCATAATGTTAAAGTTCACAGTGTGAGAATTTACAATGTGAAAGTATATCCAAGACGTCGATCGATGGCGTTGGTCTGGTAGGTTGGTGTCACGGGACACCAACATGCTGCCGATATAACAGTAACAGAAGCAACTACAGCAGCTACGAAACCATTCGATGGCAAAGCAGCGACTTCTTCAATCTGAGAGTTTGTGGCCGTGCCCTGTTCTCGTGGGACCCGACACGGATTTGGAAATAATTGCTATGATCATGTCTGAGCTGGGATGAGTGACTAATGTTTACTTTGTTTAATCATAACTGTGTGTAGGTTAGTGCCATCGGGGCTTAGTGAATACTACTCATGAACAAGTCGCCTGCCTTTGCTTATATACAAAGCATAGGGAAGGCTGCCTTGTTGGGGAGATGTAGCTTGGGTAAGGTGCTGTCACTGGAGTTAGGCGATGTGACTGGGTTATCACACGGATTCCTAAAAGCAGCTTAGACAATACGATCCACTGCGTTCCATCTCCCCACATGAACGACGACATTCTGAGTTTTAAAAAAGTGGAATATATATTTGTAAATGCGTTTTTTAAAAATAATGTTTCTTGTATCTACGTTACAATGTGTGATTGTTATACTCTTTATTTGTGTATACTGTATATACTTATATGGCTATTCAATTCCATTGATACGACACATTCATCCAACAGTGGAAAGTGTGATTCTAATACGACGAGTGGGATTCGAATAATTGTAATTCGATTCTAATCCTGCATATCCTACCCCCGGTTGGCATATTAACTTACCATACGTGCAACCACAGTGTGATTCTAATTAGCTCAGTGCGATTCTAATGATTAGTATGCGATTATAATCCCACACCTCCAATTATGTGGTTCTGCACTATAACAGTTAATCGTATTTTCCAGCGTAACAATGGATAGGTTGTAGTTCATAGGTGATAATATTATATTTCACTATGTTAGAGTTTAACATGTGAGAGTTTACAATGTCAGAGTTGATCAAGAGCGTCAATCTTGATCCACGCAGAAACAAATACAGCAGCAGCAACATCACATGTCGAGGGCGACGCAGCTACTTCTGATTCTGCTGCTTCCGCTGCTCAGATATTTGTTGCCAGGCCCTGCTCTCGCGGGACCCCACACGTCTTTGTAAATGATTGAGATGATGATGTCTGAGCTGATAGTTAATTTAATAAAGAGTACTTTGTTTGTGTGTAGGTCTGTGTCATCGGGGATCAGCGAACACTGCTTATGAATGAACTCGCACTCCTTTATGACCGACATTGTACTAATGTTGGTTGATCGAGACGAACAAGACACGTGCCATGTCCAGACGAATTGATATTAACAATATTGTCCTTAAATATAATGCTAACACTGGATTAACGTTAACACTGGATTAAACATGCACATTTTAAACCCTGCCTCGCATTTATGACTAACGATTCGCATTCGCACATAACATATATTCAAGCACAGTAAAATGCGCATACGAACATATTGTTATTAGAATAATTTTAATGCGATTCTAACCCTGCAAACCCCCACAGTTCGCATATCCGTCCCCCGATTCGATTGAACCTACACTTTACATACATATGAGCGATTAAAATGCTTCTAATGACATTCTCATACCGTAACTCCGTTTATGGTGGAATCTATTATGAAAAAAAATAAAGTCGTTTAATGTTTAGTGTCATTGTTCATAGTGTTATCAGTTTACATGTTATAGAGTACAGGTCATCCCCCGTATACTTCGGGTTTCGGGACCTGAACGTTGCGAAACGATTCATAATGAGGACCTTTCCCCACCAGAGCGCAATCCGCTAATTAAAAGAACACGGGGCAGCGGGAACACGTGCTTCCATGGGCGGTCGGGGACAGGGCATGGTGTATTGCCCACAGGTGCCACCGGGTACGTCCCCCAAGTTGCTCCGCCTATGGCGGGGTCAGGTAGAGGTCATAGAGGTGGGTGATGTAAAGACAGTGGGTCAACTAAGGGACAAGTGGTGACAACAAGATAGAGAGAGTTCGAGAAGGGAAGGCGAGACCAAGTGTGGGCGGAGGTTCACGCCGTCGTCGTTGCTATATCGTGACGCCTGGGGTCTGAAACCGCGTTAAAGGCTAAATAAAAGAACCCTCTGCAGTCTTGAGTCCGGAGCCATTACAATTGTAACGATTCATTATATCACGGGCTTATGTTGGGTTTGTGCGATTATTTTACATATTCATACTAAATATTGCTATTTGATGCCATTGAGATGGGACATTCATCCAATAGTGGACAGCGCCTTACCCAAACTACATCTCCCGAACAAGGCTGCCTTCCCTATGCTGTGTATTTTAGCAGTATATTTACGGGCGCACTTGAAGATAACAATTCGTCTCGAAAAGGAAAGCGAATTGTTCTACCAAAACGATTTCAAATTTCTATCCGAAAGAATGAGTTCATTCATGAGTAGTATTCACTAAGCACCGATGGCACTAACCTACGCACAGTTATGATTAAACAAAGTAAACATTAGTCGCTCATCTCAGCTCAGACATGATCATAGCAATTATTTCCAAATCCGTGTCGGGTCCCACGAGAACAGGGCACGGCCACAAACTCTCAGATTGAAGAAGAAGTCGCTGCTTTGCCATCGAATGGTTTCGTAGCTGCTGTAGTTGCTTCTGTTACTGTTATATCGGCAGCATGTTGGTGTCCCGTGACACCAACCTACCAACGCCATCGATCGTCGTCTTGGATATACTCTCACATTGTAAATTCTCACACTGTGAACTTTAACATTATGAACTTCAACAATGGTAACTTAAAAACATTCACATATACATTTGAAGAATCTTCAAATTACTGTAAACTAGTATGTGAACTCTAACAATATAACCTATGAGCTATACATTATAACGCTATACAATAACATTATTAACTAGTGTTATAGATTACAACAACCTACCTTGAAGTGTGATTTTCGAATCGCATTCGAATTATTCGAGTCACTCCGTGGTCCTCTTCGAATCACACTACGGTCGTAAGTATGTAACATGTATGTATGGAACATATCTGTTTGTAGTAAGTATATGTGCATGTAACATGTATGCATGTAACATGTATGTATGTAACATGGTACATGCATGTATGTAACATGTATGTATGTAATATGGACGTGCGAACCAAGGATGTGATATGTGAAACGGAAGGTGCAGGATCAGGATGGGATTAAAATTACTTGATTAACACTTTGGTGGTATTAGGATCAAGCTGTCCACTGCGGGATGAATGTTCCATCTCAATGGAATCAAATAACAATATTCAGTATGAATATGTTCAATAATCGCACAAACCCAATATTAGCCCGTGAAATTCTGAATCGTTGCAATTGTAATGACTTGTTTGATAAAAGTATTTAATCAAAGTTTGTTATCCCATCACGGAACACCACTGGAACTGAAGCATATTAAGCAGCAACAGCAGCAACAACAGCAGCAGCAGCAACAGCAGAAGCAGCAGCAACTGCAGCAGCAGCAGAAACTGCAGCAGCAGCAGCAACTGCAGCAGCAGCAACTACAGCAACAGCAGCAACTGCAGCAGCAGCAACTGCAGCAACTGCAGCAGCAGCAACTGCAGCAGCAGCAACTGCAGCAACACAAGTCTGACATTAACCGGCAACGTCTTGGCTGTCTCCACCATCAACATGTGTTCCTAGAGGGGAAAGGTCCCTGTTATAAATAGTTTAGCAACGTTCCTTTCGCTAAATTCCGAAGTATACTGGAGATCACTTGTACTCTAAAACATGTAAACTGTAACGCTTTAAAGAGAGCATTAAACATTAAACGAATATAAACAAGTTTAAGCGGAGACCATGTACCAGATCGGATTTTGGTTACTGATGTTAGAGTGATTGTATTGCAAGCGTCTGTACGTGCTCACTCCCGACGCTTGGCGGTTTTTGGCAACGCCACGGGGCTGCATTCACTTTAAATCGAGGACAATGGAGGGCATGGCGAACGTGTTTATCCATTTATTCAAAATAAGCGCATAATTACACACTGAGATGCACTTACATATTCATGCATGAAGCACAAAGGACACATTACCCTTCGGTATGTTAATAGACATGCGAATTGTACCTTCCAAAATTAACAATCGAATGCAAATATCCTGAAAGACAAAGGATTGGATCCTAGGGGGGGAGTTATAAGGCGGCTCAGAAGCAGAGCTCAATGCCATTTCGAGAGGGAACTTGATGAGGTTGGACGCTCGACTCGTCGCTCTGCTGATCGCCCTTCAACCGCGAGACAACGCAGCCTGGCGAGCACAATTGCTGTGTCGGCAGTTAGGCGACTTTGCGTAAGGGAGAGTTCGTGGCGACATCTTCAGACGGGTTCTAGACATCGATATACCGTGAATCTCCAAGTAGGTGTCTATTTTCACGGATAAACTCTTAAACGTGTTCGTCGTCAAATTAGCGGGATTTTTTTGCTTCTCGGTTAGACGCGAGTGTCGTTCTTGTTTTAGCTGTTAACAAAATCCAAAACTCAACGCTAAACATCCTTGCGGCCGATAGCGTACTTTTGACTCGATAACACCGCTGCTGTTACTTCGCTCACATGGAGCAGAGACGCTCTCCACAGCCCCACGTACACGGAGGCAAGAAGCCATTCAATTGCTCTGTGTGTGGGAAGACATTTTCATGGCCATCACATCTTCAGAGACACCAGAGAACACACACGGGCGAGAAGCCGTTCATGTGCCCTGTGTGTGGGAAGACATTTGCACATTCATCACATCTTCAGAGTCACCAGAGAACACACACGGGCGAGAAGCCGTTCCTGTGCCCTGTGTGTGGGAAGACATTTGCACAGTCATCACATCTTCAGAGTCACCAGAGAACACACACGGGCGAGAAGCCGTTTCTGTGCTCTGTGTGTGGGAAGACATTTGCACACTCATCACATCTTCAGAGTCACCAGAGAATACACACCGGCGAGAAGCCATTCCTGTGCCCTGTGTGTGGAAAGGCATTTGCACACTCGTCAACTTGTCAAGACCATCAGAGAACACATACGGGCAAGAAGCCATTCCTGTGCTCTGTTTTATTAGGAAGACATTTGCAAAGTCATCACATCTTCAAAGTCACCAGAGAACACACACGGGCGAGAAGCCATTCTTGTGCCCTGTGTGTGGGGAGGCATTTGCACACTCATCAAACATGAACAGGCATCAGAAGGTCCACAATGATAGGAAACTGAAATCAAAAGCTGAAATTCAAGGTGCTGCAATTGGTCCTGAAGAAGTTTCCACATTCGATCCCATGCAGTTGGATCCCGAGAGGTGGCTGGATGTAATGGAGTGGCTCGGGGATCAAACCGAGAGCTCGGAGTGACTGAAAAAATATTATGTCAGGTGGTTATACCTATTAAGCCGTATCGAGTACTTTTTGGTTATAATTTTGACCATTTACAGTTTTTGACGTGCACAGTGGTGGTTTGTAATGTTATCGGATTACTTGCCGAAGTGGTGTGATGAGCACTGGTTGTGAGACTGTTCAATTGTCGTCGTTAAGTGTTCCTGTTGAGCTAAAGTTGGAATGCGTATGTAGGTACATCTTTACTCAACATTTTAAACGTTTTTTTTCAAGTATAAAGCTTTTTTATTGGTATTAATCAACTTTAGATAGCCGATTTCAGGATGTACATTGATGACGCGTTCGTTGGATATATGGCCTTGACTTCAACATAGACCCACAGTGAACAAATGTGGTGAACTAATAAGGAAATCATGGGGAATGATACTTTAACGCTTTGGTATTCCTGGAACGGAAATAGTTTGCATTGTACTGGAAATGTAATAAATATTCCCTTCGAGTTTTCACGTAAAAATGATTGCAGATGAATAAAAACGTATTTTTAACAAATGTTCTTTATTTTATAATGTTCCTAGCAAAAACATGTTAAGCGAGTTTCAGGTGGAGGATCTCCGTCACACAAGTGTGCCCTTAACCGGCAGCATCTTGGCTGTCTACGCGATTAACACGTGTTCCTTGAGGGGAAAGGTCCCCGTAGTTAATCGCTCATCAACCTACCAGTCCCTAATTCCCGAAGTATGTCGGGGATAAACTGTACTCTATAACATGTAAACTGTAATACTATAAACGATAACACTAAACATTAAACGATTATAAACTAGTGTTTTAATTTATAACCATATAAACGGAGATAAGGTATTATAATATCATTAGAATCATTAGAATCACAGTGTGGTCGTATAAGAATCACGCACAAACCCATTCTTAACTCATGAGATTCTGAATCTTTACGATTTTATAACAATCACAAATTGTAACAAAGCGAAATTCCAACAAGCAAAACACCACGCTCACATGACGTATTCTTAAACAAATTGCAACACTCAAGTGACAGAACTCAACATAAAAACGCCGCAATTAAAAGAACAACATCAGTAGACAAATCCTAAAAACAGACAACACAGGCACGTTAGTAGCTGTTAGAAGAAGACAACACCTAGCACCTTCAACTATACACATCATACAGCCAACTCGTAAATGGCGCGGTATATGACAGCCTTCAATGCTGTCGATGGGGACAAGCAGCGAGTGTTTAACTCCATTGTTTCAGAATCCGTGTCATCACCCGGCCACAGCGCCTTAGCCAAACTACATCTCCCCAACAAGGCAGCCTTCCCTATGCTGTGTATTTTAGCAATATATTTACGGACGCAGTTGAAAATAACAATTCGTCTAGAAAAGGCAGGCGACTTGTTCTACCAACACGATATCAAATTTCTATCCAAAAGAAGTATGAGTTCATTCATGAGTAGTATTCACTAAGCACCGATGACACTAACCTACACACAGTTATGATTAAACAAAGTAAACATTAGTCGCTCATCCCAGCTCAGACATGATCATAGCAATTATTTCCAAATCCGTGTCGGGTCCCACGAGAACAGGGGGCCTCGCTCGCGTGGCGACAGCGATCGCCTCACTCCTCCGCCGCGTGCTGCTTTGTGGCGGCAGGTCCACCGCCCAGTAGGGGTGGTGGCGGTGGTCGTGCATCGGTGCCAACCGTGACCGCTATCACCACACTACCCACTCACCCCGTGATACTCGCTACACACACCACACGGTTCCCCAGAGAGACGGTGCCACTGGGACCACAGCTGGGGAATGAAGCTGAGCAGCAGATGCCAGGCCTACAGCGGAGAATGACTGCTGCCGGCGCAGCCAATGACATCGCCTGTTGCAATCCTTGCTCTGTGGGCGCGCGAGTCAGTGGGGAGGGGGGTGTGGACGTCATCGCTCACCCCCCATGCACAAATCATTTTCTTTTTAACTCCTCTATACCCGGTCGATATCCCTGTACCGGTATTAGTATTATTCCTACCAGCCCACCCCGCAGGGTCCTGTTTTCAAATACGTATTTAAAAATATGTTTTCAATTTTTTAAAAATTTAGAATGTCGTTGTCCATGTGGGGAGCGCAGTGGATCGTTTCGTCTAAGCTGCTTTTCGGAATCCGCGTGATAACCCAGTCACATCGCCTAACTCCAGTTACAGCACCTTACCCAAACTACATCTCCCCAACAAGGCAGCCTTACCGCTGCTGTGTATTGTGTTTGTGGGATAACAGAGGTGTGTATTATCCCATACGCCTTGACCAAAACGACTGATTATCTGCTTAACACCATAGCCCGTAAAACACTATTGGAGACAGTGTTGTTTGAGAGCAGCTATTAAAGTCGAGTGTGGTCACTACGCGTCTGTACGTGCTCCCTCCCGAAGCTTGGCGGTTTTTGGCAACGCCACGGGGCTGCATTCACTTTAAATTGAGGACAACGGAGGGCATGGCGAACGTGTTTATCCATTTATTCAAAATTTGTTGTTGATAATAATTCGTCTGGACATGGCACGTGCCTTATTCTACTCGATTAACCAAAATTAGTACAATGCCATACAGTAGTGTGATTTCATTCATGAGTAGTATACATAGAGCCCCAATGACACTAACCTACCTAAAGTTATGGTTAAAAAAGTAATCTTGAGTGACTTAATTCTCAGCTCAGACATGATCATCGCAATCATTTCCAAAGACGTGTGGGGTCCTGCGAGAGCAGGTCCCGACTACAAACAGCTGGGCGGCAGAATCGGAAGTAGCTGCGTCGCCCTCGAAATGTGATGTTGCTGCTGTTGTTGCTGCTGTAGTTGCTTCTGTTGCTGTAATAAACGCAGGGAGGTGGTGTTCCGTGATGGGATGACGCCTTTGATTAAAGCCTCTGTTCAAACTCACCCGATTGACGCCCTTGATCGTCGCATTTGATCAACTCTGATATTGTAGACTCTCACATGTTAAGCTCTATCATAGTGAAACATAATATTATAACCTATGAACTACAACCTATCCATTGTAACGCTGTAAAAGAATATTACCTATTGGGTTTCACTCCCTCGTCGAGAAGGCCGCTCTCTTCCTTTTCCAAAGTTACATGCTAATTTCTCTGCATTCACTTTAAATGGAGGACAATGTTTTTCCATTTATTCAAAATAAGCGCACAATTACACACTGAGATGCACGTACATATTAATGCATGAAGCACAATGGGCACATTATTCTTCGGTATGTTAATAGACATGCGGATTGTGCCTTCCAAAATTAACAATCGAATGCAAATATCCTGAAAGACAAAGGATTGGATCCTAGGGGGGGGAGTTATAAGGCGGCTCAGAAGCAGAGCTCAATGCCATTTCGAGAGGGAACTTGATGAGGTTGGACGCTCGACTCGTCGCTCTGCTGATCGCCCTTCAACCGCGAGACAACGCAGCCTGGCGAGCACAATTGCTGAGTCGACAGTTAGGCGACTTTGGGTCGGGAGAGTTCGTGGCGACATCTTCAGACGGGTTTCAGACATCGATATACCGTGAATCTCCAAGTAAGTGTCTATTTTCGCGGATAAATTCTTAAACGTGTTCGTCGTCAAATTAGCGGGATTTGTTTTTTCTCTCGGTTAGACGCGAGTGTCGTTTTTGTTTTAGCAGTTAACAAAATCCAAAACTCAACGTTAAACATCCTTGGGGCCAATAGCGTACTTTTGACTCAATAACACCGCTGCTGTTACTACGCTCACATGGAGCAGAGAGGCTCTCCACAGCCCCACGCACACGGAGGCAAGAAGCCATTCAATTGCTCTGTGTGTGAGAAGTCCTTTTCACGGTCATCACATCTTAAGAAACACCACAGAACACACACGGGCGAGAAGCCGTTCCTGTGCCCTGTGTGTGGGAAGACATTTGCACGGTCATCACATCTTCAGAGTCACCAGAGAACACACACGGGCGGGAAGCCATTCCTGTGCTCTGTGTGTGGGAAGGCATTTGCACAGTCATCAACTCTTCAAGACCATCAGAAAACACACACGGGCGAGAAGCCGTTCCTGTGCTCTGTGTGTGGGAAGACATTTTCAAAGTCATCAAATCTTCATAGTCATCAGAGAACACACACGGGCGAGAAGCCATTCCTGTGCCCTGTGTGTGGGAAGACATTTGCAGACTCATCAACTCTTCATAGTCATCAGAGAACACACACGGGCGAGAAGCCATTCCTGTGCCCTGTGTGTGGGAAGACATTTTCCAAGTCATCAAATCTTCATAGTCATCAGAGAACACACACGGGCGAGAAGCCATTCCTGTGCCCTGTGTGTGGGAAGACATTTGCAGACTCATCAACTCTTCATAGTCATCAGAGAACACACACGGGCGAGAAGCCATTCCTGTGCCCTGTGTGTGGGAAGACATTTTCCAAGTCATCAAATCTTCATAGTCATCAGAGAACACACACGGGCGAGAAGCCATTCCTGTGCGCTGTGTGTGGGAAGACATTTGCAGACTCATCAACTCTTCATAGTCATCAGAGAACACACACGGGCGAGAAGCCTTTCCTGTGCCCTGTGTGTGGGAAGACATTTGCAGACTCATCAACTCTTCATAGTCATCAGAGAACACACACGGGCGAGAAGCCATTCCTGTGCCCTGTGTGTGGGAAGACATTTTCCAAGTCATCAAATCTTCATAGTCATCAGAGAACACACACGGGCGAGAAGCCATTCCTGTGCGCTGTGTGTGGGAAGACATTTGCAGACTCATCAACTCTTCATAGTCATCAGAGAACACACACGGGCGAGAAGCCTTTCCTGTGCCCTGTGTGTGGGAAGACATTTGCAAACTCATCAACCATGAACAGGCATCAGAAGGTCCACAATGATAGGAAACTGAAATCAAAAGCTGAAATTCAAGATGCTGCAATGAGTCCTGAAGAAGTTTCCACCTTCGATCCCATGCAGTTGGATCCCGAGAGATGGCTGGATGTAATGGAGTGGCTCGAGGATCAAACCGAGAGCTCGGGGTGACTGAAATATTATGTCATGTGGTTATACCTATTAAGCCGTATCGAGTACTTTTGTGTGTAATTTTGACCATTTTAGTTTTACAGTTTTTGTGAGTTTAATTACGTGCACAGTGGTTGTTTGTAATGTTATCGGATTACTTGCCGAAGTGGTGTGAAGAGCACTGGTTGTGAGAGGGTGTAATTGTAGTCGTTAGGTGTTCCTGTTGAGCTAAAGTTGGAATGCGTCTGTAGGTACATCTTTACTCAACATTTTCAACGGGTTTTGTCAAGTATATAGCTGTGTTTGATTGGTATTAATCGACTTTAGATCGCCGATTTCAGGATGTACATTGATGACGCGTACGTTGGATATATGGCCTTGACTTCAACATAGACGCACAGTGAACAAATGTGGTGAACTAATAAGGAAATCATGGAGAATGATACTTTAAAGCGTTGGTATTCCTGGAACGGAAATGGTTTGCATTGTACTGGAAATGTGTTAACATAGAACATAATAAATATTCCCTTCGAGTTTTGACGTAAAAATGATTGCAGATGAATAAAAACGTATTTTTAACAAATGTTTGTCCGGTCTTTATTTTATAATGTTTCTAGCAAAAACATGTTCAGAGAATTTCAGGTGGAGGATCTCCATCACACAAGTGTGCCCTTAACCGGCAGCATCTTGGCTGTCTACCCGATTAACACGTGTTCCTTGAGGGGAAAGGTCCCCGTAGTTAATCGTTCATCAACGTACCAGTCCCTAATCCCGATGTATGTCGGGGATAAACTGTACTCTATAACAAGTAAACTGTAATAATAAAAACGATAACACTAAACATTTAACGATTATAAACGTATAACCATATTCACGGAGGCAAGGTATTATAATATCATTAGAATAGTGGGATTCGAATAATTGTAGTTCGATTCTAATCCTGCATATCCTATACCCGGTTTGCATATTCACTTACCATACATAAGACACCAGTGTGATTCTAATTTGAGCACAGTGCGATTCTAATTATTCTTATTCGATTATAATCCCACTATAACAGTTAAAAGGATTTTACAGCGTTCATAGGTTATAATATTATGTTGCACTATGTTAGAGCTTAACATGTGAGAGCCTACAACTATCAGAGTTGGTCAAATGCGACGATCAAAGGCGTCAATAGGGTAAGTTTGATCAGAGTCTTTGATCAAAGGCGTAATCCCATCATGGAACACCACCTCCCTGCGTATATAACAGCAACAGAAGCAGCAACATCACATTTCGAGGGCGACGCAGCTACTTCTGATTCTGCTGCTTCTGCTTCCCGGCTGTTTGTGGCCGGGCTGGAAATGATTGCGATGATCACGTCTGAACTGAGAATTAAGTGACTAAATACTACTTTGTTTAACCATAACTGTGTGTAGGTTATCTTCTTGGTTCTTTCGGTAAAATAACGTAGAAGGGAAATAATAAAATAATACAAATAAAACAGAATAAAAAAATTATCACGACGTTTCGGCCACAACGCAGGCAACCGTCCTCAGGTGAAGAACAGGGCTATCGGAAAGACAGCGTCTGAATGAACACCACCAAGCTTGGCAGCGTATATTTAAGCTGCAGGGGGAAGGGCGCCTTGACAAGGGAATTTGCATATCAACAGATGAAATTAGAATATTTATGGGAAATGCAGATATGGGATTAGTCACTACTTGTGGAATGCGTAGGAGGTGGGGGGGGGGGGTCTCAAAGTCATATTATGCCCGTGCATTATGTAGGATTAGCAGGAACAAAGGGAGGAAGTGGGGTTAGCAGTAATAAAGGGAAGGAATTTTAATTATAAGGAGCTGCAGCAGCCATACCACCACGTAAAAAACTAAACTATAAACTACATCAATATTATCAATATACTAAATATACTCTCCAATAAGCTGAGCTACTAACAGGAAGTAATAGTGGACGGGCATGTGAACTTTGCCCGTATGTATGTAATGTGTATGCATGCCATTTGGACTTGCGAAGCGGAGGGGTCGGATATGCGAACTGGGGCGTGCAGGATTAGGAATCGGATGAAAATTATTAGAATAACACTATGGTAGTATTATAATTACACTGAGCTAGAGTGTATGTTATATGTAGATGCGCATTGGGAGTCGTAAATGCAAACTGGGAGGTGCTCGGTTTAGAATAGCATCAAAATGAGTTTCATAACAACGTGGTCCTATTAGAATCACGCTATCAACAGCTGCTGATGTTCGGGTGGCGGCCGTCGATTCGGGCTCTGCTCTTCATTTCCTCGCCTGGATGGTGCCGCGGGACGCAGCATTTCTGAAGGTGATGTTGTTGTTGCTGCTGCTGCAGTTTCTGCAGTTGCTGCTGCTGCAGTTGCTGCTGCTGCAGTTGCTGCTGCTGCAGTTGCTGCTGTTGCAGTTGCTGCAGTTGCTGCAGTTGCTGCTGCTGCAGTTGCTGCTGTTGTTGCTGGTACTGTTGTTGCTGGTACTGTTGCTGCTTAAGTTTCAGTGGTGTTCCGTGATAGGATAACAAACTTTGATCAAATACTCTTATCAAACGAGTCGTTACAATTGTAACGAATCATAATTGCACGGGCTTATGTTGGGTTTGTAAGATAATTCTATATTTACATACTGAATATTGCTATTTGATGCCATTGAGATAGAACATTCACCCAGCAGTGGACAGCTTGATCCTAATACCACGAAAGTGTTATTCAAACAATTTTAATCCCATCCTGATCCTGCACCTTCCGTTTCACATATCCCACCCTTGGTTCGCACGTCCATATTACATACATACATGTTACATGCATGCATGTTACATGCATGTATGTAACATGTTACATACATACATGTTACATGCATACATGTTACATACAGACATATTACATTCATGCATATTACATACAGACATGTTACATACTCACGAGCATAGTGTGATTCTTATAGGACCACGGTGTGAAGCTGAGAATTCGAATATCACACTTCAATGTTCGGTGTTCTAATCTGTAACACTAGTTTATTGTTATTTTATAGCTTTATAGTGTATAGCTCATAGCTTATATTGTTATAGTTCAAAACATTATAGTTTACTAGAACACTAGTTTGTAGTGTTATTTTAAAGCGTTACAATGTATAGCTCATAGTTTAAAGGTTATATTGTTAGAGTTTATAATGTTAGAGTATGCTCTGTGAGTTTACAATTTGAAAGTTTGTGAACGTGCCCTATTCTCGTGGGACCCGACACGAATTTGGAAATAATTGCTATGATCATGTCTGAGCTGGGATGAGCGACTAATGTTTACTTTGTTTAATCATAGCTGTGTGTAGGTTAGTGCCATCGGTGCTTAGTGAATACTACTCATAAATGAACTCATACTTCTTTCGGATATAAATTGGAAATCGTGTTGGTAGAACAAGTCGCCTGCATTTTCTAGACAAATTGTTATCTTCAAGTGCGTCCGAAAATAAACTGCTAAAATACACAGAATAGGGAAGGCAGCCTTGTTGGGGAGATGTAGTTTGGCTAAGGCGCTGTGGCCGGGTGATGACACGGATTCTGAAACAATGGAGTTAAACACTCGCTGCTTGTCCCCATCGACAGCATTGAAGGCTGTCATATACCGCCCCATTAACGATTTGGCTGTATGATGTGTATAGTTGAAGGTGCTAGGTGTTGTCTTCTTCTAACAGCTACTAACGTGCCTGTGTTGTCTGTTTTTAGGATTTGTCTACTGATGTTGTTCTTTTAATTGCGGCGTTTTTATGTTGAGTTCTGTCACTTGAGTGTTGCAATTTGTTTAAGAATACGTCATGTGAGCGTGGTGTTTTGCTTGTTGGAATTTCGCTTTGTTACAATTTGTGATTGTTATAAAATCGTAAAGATTCAGAATCTCATGAGTTAAGAATGGGTTTGTGCGTGATTCTTATACGACCACACTGTGATTCTAATGCTTCTAATGATATTATAATACCTTATCTCCGTTTATATGGTTATAAATTAAAACACTAGTTTATAATCGTTTAATGTTTAGTGTTATCGTTTATAGTATTACAGTTTACATGTTATAGAGTACAGTTTATCCCCGACATACTTCGGGAATTAGGGACTGGTAGGTTGATGAGCGATTAACTACGGGGACCTTTCCCCTCAAGGAACACGTGTTAATCGCGTAGACAGCCAAGATGCTGCCGGTTAAGGGCACACTTGAAGGCGGAATTATCTTCAGGACTCATTGCAGCACCTTGGTTTCAGCTTCCTATCATCGTGGACCTTCTGATGCCTCTTCCGTTTTGATGAGTGTGCAAATGACTTTCCACACACAGAGCACAGGAATGGCTTCTCGCCCGTGTGTGTTCTCTGGTGTCTCTGAAGATGTGATGACTTTGCAAATGTCTTCCCACACACAGGGCACAGGAATGGCTTCTCGCCTGTGTGTGTTCTCTGATGAGTTTGAAGAGTTGATGAGTGTGCAAATGTCTTCCCACACACAGGGCACAGGAATAGCTTCTCGTCCGTGTGTGTTCTCTGGTGTCTCTTAAGATTTGATTGCCGTGAAAATGCCTTCCCACAGACAGAGCAATTCAATGGCTTCTTGTCTCCGTGTGCGTGGGGCTGTGGAGAGCGTCTCTGCTCCATGTGAGCGTAGTAACAGTAGCGGTGTTATCGAGTCAAAAGTACGCTTTCGGCCGAAAGGATGTTTAGCGTTGAGTTTTGGATTTTGTTAACTGCTAAAACGACACTCGCGTCTAACCGAGACGCAAAAAAATCCCGTAAATTTGACGAACACGTTTATCCGCGAAAATAGACACTTACTTGGAGATTCACGTTATATATTGATGTCTAGAACCCGTCTG